ACTTTTCTCATCTGTGTGTAACCTGATCCCATACTCCTATTTCTATACAGGTGACTGTAGTTCACTGCTAACATTTTAATCTCTACAGTCGGTTTTTAATTGAGTATATTTATTAAATGCACTTTGGCACTAAAAATGTCAAATGAAAAACATTAGTCTGTTTATTTTAAAAGCCATAAACATGAAATACTGTTAATATTCTAAATACACAAACTGGTCAAAAATGTTGGACTTGTCCTATTTTGACCCTTGACCCCTACTTTTATACAGTAATGAGGATGTAAAGCTGTGGCTACTGTCCTTTTGTTGCCTCCTGGTTAAAGTTCCTGCTTTGGAGACGAAAGATGTGTCCACCCATATTTATTGGCTTTGAGACGTCACACCTCCTGACGGAACAGGATTTACTGTTCAGTCGAGTTTTACGGGATCTGCAGTCCCTCCCTTTCTTCCTTTATCTCTTTACCTTTCTGTCGCCATCTGTCTGTTTCTCTCTCCTGAGTTTACATTTTCAAACTCTATTGTCAACAAAAGAAAATGGTTTTATTAATGGAGACACACAGACGGTAATTTTCAAGTCAAATCCAGTTTATTTTAATTTCAGCTACAAGGCAGTTCTAAAACAGTCATATGGCACAAGTGCAAATATTACATTTTGTCAAATCAAGTAAATGTATGCCACATGTATTGCTCAATGATATTTTTAGTGAAATTGACTTAACATTGATCAATTATCTGTTTAACAGTTTCAGCTGTTTTGCAGTTTTCTGGAAGTTTGTTCCAGATTTGTGGTGCATAGGAGCTGAATGCTGCTTCTCCATGTTTGGTTCTGAGGTCTGGAAGGTTGGTATGACAGCAGGTCTTTAAAGTATTGTGGTGCTGAGCCGTTCAGTGATTTATAAACAGTATTTTAAAGTATATTCTCTGAGCTACAGGGAGCCAGTGTATAAGACTGGGTGATGTTCTCTCACTTCCTGGCTTTAGTCCGAACGGCAGCAACGTTCTGGATCTGTTTAGGCAGATCTGTGAAGACACTGTTGCAGTAATCAATGCAACTGAAGATAAACAGAAGAATGAGTTTCTGTAAATCTAGGTTAGAGGCCATCGCTATGATCTCTGGTTTTTAGTTGTATTAACTGTATTAACTATTAATTGATTCCAGATTGTTACTCTTTCGGTCCAAAGGTGGTAATTTCAGTTTCTTTTCTGTTCAGCTGGAGACATTTGTGTTGGTGCTTGAGTGGGTTCAGTCACCTGGTGACATTGTGATTGAAGTTATGAATCATCTGTATAGTTTTGATATTTGATTGCTTGTTGTAATCTGAGGTATTGGATATCAAATATGAGGGATCCCAGGATTGAGCCTTGGGGTACACCACATGTTGCCTACATCTGTACTGATGGGAAGTTGCAGATTGACAAAGATAAGTGACATTTCATATAGTCCATCAAATAATGACTGAAAACCGATGATGCGTGAACACTGTGCTGGTTTTCCTTTGCGTTTCTGGACCTTGTGGCTGCAAATGACTCATCAGATAAAGTTGAGAGCCTTGGCCAAACAAACTCTTCAACTTGGTGCATTAAAACTAAGTTAAACATTAAATATGCTCCGCAGTTCACAGCAGGTCAAAATAAGCCTCCATTTGAAACCACTTCCAGTTGAATTTATTTCATAGATTATCAGGGCCACACAAAAATACTTAATTTACCCAAAGATCAAAATCTCATTCTTTATAGAGAATGAGTAAATTGTGTTTAATTTTATGGTTTCAGTTTGATAAGATAAAAGATTTGAACATTTATTGGGTAAAAATGTAAAATAATTATTAGTATGGTTTTGTTACCATGGTTAGAGTCTGATATATATATATAGTGTTTGAGCTCCTGTTTGTCCACAAATGCATTTCAACAACAAAAATTCAACGACTTTAAGCTTTGCCTCTTTTCCAGATTCCAGATCCAAGTCCAGTTGTGCATCTGTGCCAAGATGTGGAAACTGATTTAGATGAGAAAATTTGGCAAATTCAAGGTTGTAGATTAAGAATCCCAAATCTCATTTATTTATATGGGGGAAAAAACTGTCCTTTCCAATTCACAGATAAGCATGATGTAACATATTTAAAAAGTAGCAATATTATTAAATGTGGAAAAGTTCAAGGTGTATGAATACCTTTTAGGAAAATCTGCATTATAAACTAACTCAGAGGAAACATGAATATAAAAGAACTTATGATTGTTTTGGGGTTTGAACTGAGTATCCAGAGACGGTTACAAAGTCGGCCTTTTGTCATTTCCAGCATTTAAAAATTATTCCAGGAGACTTTTTCAGTTGCATTGGTTACTGTAGCTGTGAATTCACAGATCTGAATTAAAAATCCTCCAGATGCAGCCGGCCCAGAACGCTGCTGCTGCAGCCGGTCCAGAACGCTGCTGCTGCAGCCGGCCCAGAACGCTGCTGCTGCAGCCGGTCCAGAACGCCGCTGCTGCAGCCGGTCCAGAACGCTGCTGCTGCAGCCGGTCCAGAACGCTGCTGCTGCAGCCGGTCCAGAACGCTGCTGCTGCAGCCGGTCCAGAACGCTGCTGCTGCAGCCGGTCCAGAACGCTGCTGCTGCGGTGTTTTATCATATAAAACACTTTTTGCTGGAATGTCCTACAGCTATAAGTAAACATAACTTTTTATTTTTATTTTTAGTGTTTGGGTGTCAACAGACCACGATGACATTGAAGAAGTTGCAAAATCCTGGGGGGCCAAAGTCCACCGGAGGAGCAAGAAAGTCTCCAAGGACTCCTCCACCTCCTTGGAGACGATTCAGGAGTTTATCAAATCACCCAGGTAGGAAAAGCTCAGCTGGACACAAGTTGACCCAAATGTTGAGGATGGAAAATCACAGATGAGTTTTTCTCCTGTTCAGAGGTGACTGTGGTCTGTAACATCCAGGCTACGTCTCCGTGTCTCCATCCATCTCACCTAAAGAACGCCCTGAAGAAGATCACAAATGACGGATATGACTCCGTCTTCTCTGTGGTCCGGAGACACCAGTTCCGCTGGAAGGAGGTCAAGGAAGGAAGTGAGTTCATCAAACGCCTGTTTGACTGTAATTGGACTCAATCGGGGTTCAGTTGTTCTGTTCAGAGAACCTACAGCAGAACATGTTCATCCTTCCTTACAGGTGATGAAAGCACTGAGCCGGAGAATCTGAACCCTGCAAAGCGTCCGCGGCGTCAGGACTGGAACGGAGAACTGGTTGAGAATGGTTCCTTTTACTTTGCTACCAGAGAACTCGTCGAGAAAGGACTGCTGCAGGTAGCTGCTCTGAATGTTTAGCTCTCAGTACTGACAATTTGCTCCAAGTGTTTCCCTAAAAGCCACATCTGTGCCAGAAAACCTAGTTTAAATTGATTCTACCAAAAAGTGGTCAGATATCGAGCCAGAATTAGACCAGAAGCTTGTCAATAAGTTTGAATCCAATGTTTGACTTGGATGTTCATTCAAGTGTTATTGGGGATTTATGCATGTATCTGAGGATGTATGTATAATTTTCATCTTGTTTCACTCTGACTAAAGTTGTCAATTTGCCTCAAACATCAAAGAGTACTTTGTCACCATCTAGTGGTCAGTTAAGCATAATTTACTACAAACCTAAATTCATGTCTTAAATTTAAATTAAGTCTATTTTTGAGTTTGTAAAAACTGAATATTCAGGCAGTAATAACTATATTAAAATAATTGTTTAAATTATTGGATGATGAAAATGAAAGGCTTTACTTTGCTGCCATCTTGTGGTCATTTATGCCTAATTTACCAATTTTCACACTAAAACCTTAAATTCCTGTTTCATAAAAAAAAAATTACAGCTTGGTGGCAAAAACATAAAATTCAGGCAATAAGGGGCAGAAAATGTACAATAAAAGCTTTTTTATTACGTGGTAAAAATTAAAGACACTCTGTCCTACGATGAACTGATGTTTCTCGACCTGTGTCCATCAGTTCACAATGTTTGGCGGTTTTCTGATTGTGCAGGCGGTCGGGTCGCCTACTTTGAGATGGAGCCGCAGCACAGCGTGGACATTGACGTGGACATCGACTGGCCTGTGGCAGAGCAGAGAGTACTCAGGTGAATTTAAACCGACTGCTTTTCAGGGCATCTATGATGCAAAGTCACATTTTGCACATTTGTATACATTCATTTAGGTTTCTGCTGCTTCTAAAACAGCACAAGTGCTTAAAAATCTGCCTGGGTGGGTTTTGGCAATAAATTGTATAATTGGTGTCTGGAAAATGAGCCGTTTCAAAATCCCCTGGAAGATAACGTCAAAAATCACCAGGCAATGCTTGTTACCCAACAACCCCAGCAAAGCTCAGCCCATTACCCAGCAACCTAAGCAGATCTCAGCACATTTGGTCAGCTGGTTTTACTGCTGTACAATGGCTTCTGGAAACGACAAGCATTTTGATGCTGACTTTTTAAGCTGTCTTATTTGTGCAGGAGGCTCCACTTCTGCTTTTCATAGATGTATAATTGCGTATCTTTTTGCAGCCATTTTTACATCCAAGTGTGAACGTTGCGTTGAGGGCGTAGCCAGCAGCAGCTTTGGATTTAAAGTGAAAGGCCCTAAAACAGAACTGATCAGAATCTCATTGTCCAAGAATTAATTTGTGCAAAATATGTAATGAACATGTCTTTCCTAGTTCATTCCATCTTAACATATTCAATGAAGCAAAAGTTACCTTTTTTTAAACCCCCCCCAAAAGAACATTTCAGATTCTTGGGATTTGACCTTTTAACCTTATTTAAATTTAGGTATTTTTCTCCGTCTGGACTTCCTGCTGAACTTCATGTTTGGATTCTCTGCTTCTCAACAGGTTCGGTTACTTTGGCCGGGGAGTGTCTCTGATGTTCTGTGAAGTTTCTGGATGTTTGACCGATGGACGGGTGAACTTGACTGGGTCCTCTGCTGGTGGTCAGCGTGACACTGATTCTGGAATATGCTCTGCTGACGTGTCTGAGTCCGAGCCGTCTTCTAAGGGCTCCGTCCACAGCAGCGACACAGAAGGATTCAGTGTCTCCATCCACAGGAGAGACATCACAGCACTCAGGAAGCTGCAGAAAGACGACGTGGAGGTCGGATCTGTCGCCTTTATCAACGTCAAAGGAGAAATTGACCAGTGTCTCGCAACGTGTTACACCTCCTGTCCTCCAGGTGGTGCTGCTGATCTCCACGGAGGACATCGCGCTCCAACAGATGAGTTCTAAACTGAAGATGATGACAGACTGTGAAGTGATGGTAGTCGGAGAGGATCCACTAAAAGATGTGCAGTCGAAGGTGGAGGAGAAGAAGCTGGACTGGAAGGAGGTGGCCTACATGGGTAAAAATCTGGACTTTTTAAACAGTTTTTTTTTTACTTGTCTGGATAATGTTTTAAAAAATACATTTTGAAGAGATCTTGTAGAAAATGAATGTTACAGCTTATAGTCATCAAACGAGCTGCTGGCGATAAGATTAAGAAAATTTGGTTATTTTGTTCTAAACAGGCTGGAAACTGTAGGACTGATGAGGCTCCATTCATATTTTAACAGTTTGTACCAAAATATGAGTAAAACTACCAAATAACCATCAACCCTTTAAAGGCATTCTTGATCAAAATAATATTTGAAGTATTTTGATTAACTGGGGAAAAATAGATGGGAAAACTATTTGATTTTATTACTTTCCAGTTAAAGTTAACCTTTTAACCTGCTTCAACATTTTTTTATACATCTTTTTTTTTCCTGGGGTTAAAAGTTAAATCTTTTCTGTTTTTTAAAAAGTGGTTATTATTGTTGGCTAAAATTAACAAGGCTCAAACCAAGGTTATGTTGTGTTTTCCCTCCCAGGCTGCGATGCGGCGTCCGCCTGCTGTCTGAACCTGGCGGGCCTGAGCGCGGCGCCGGCAGACGCCCATCCGACGCCATCAGAGCCAGCAAGTTTGCCTGCAAGCAAGGCGGCGGTGCGGGCGCCGTGCGGGACTTCGCCGAACACGTCCTGCTCCAGAAGCAGCAAGCCAGGCTCCAGATGAAGCAGGACAGGATCAACCGCTTCTGATGCGAGATTAAAACGCGACACGTTTTGTGTGAAGCACTTGACAAGTCAAGTTTCAACGGAACGGATCATGAAGGCAAAAGATCCCAAATGACGTTGGTACTGAATTAAAAATGAGAATAGCTTGGGTTTACCTCGGACTTTCTGCACAGCACCTGTTCCTGTTAAACACTAGAAGCCACAGTTTTCTTTCTGCACGTCTTAGTTCAGTTCACTCATTTGATTGATGTTCTATAGCTGGTTGGTTTTTCATGAAACATCCAGAGGCAATACTTTAAAACACAATGAGAACAAGCTATGGATTTCTGTATTTCTTGAGTAAAAGTTGAGACAAAGACACTTAAATAAATCTAAATTCACAGGAATGTATTAGATCTGAAGTTCTTCCACTATGTCATAGCATTTCATTGTTTTACATTCGGCTCATAAACTGACAGATACCACTGATTATGTTTGGGGTGCTTTGCTGCTTTAACTCTGTCCTGATTGGTCTGATTTAGTTATGTCCTGCACATATTAAGGTTTTGAATCAAATTGCAGTTTTCTGCCTGCTATGATGTAACTGTAATAGCTTAAATATGCTGTATTTATTTATCTATAGCATTAGTGACAAATTACTTTTTTGTCATAGAACAGCTGTTCAGAGCAAAAACTGATTTTCTATTTGATACAATAAAGGGGAAAAGTATATTTGCTTCCAACCATTAAGATATTATCAATAAAAGATTAAATGATCATACCTGAGTCGTTCATACTTTTGGTGTCTAATTAGATTTTACAAGAGGTGCCAGAGAACAGGAGGATGTTTGCACAAAAGGTTATGAAAAACTAAATTACAAGCTGCTTAACGTCAAGATATGACCTTCCACACGAGGGCAGTGTTGGACAAGTGTGTATAGACGCAGAGCCTCACCTGTTATAGGAAAAAGTTTTTTTTTTTTCTATTTTCACCCTGTGGTTTGTGCTATAAAGTACCTATTTTTTTGCTTAGCTTAAACTCTGATTTCTTGAAAATTGCTGAATTTTCGCATTTTCCCATTCAGATGCTCAGAAGTGAAGTTGAGGCAGCAGTGAGCTCAGCATCACCTGGGATTGATCAACCTCTAGCTGCAGACTTGAGGTGAGGCAGGCAGTTCTCCTGGCTCATGGCAGGGGGCGCTCTAGATCCCAGGCATTGTGACTCCACAGGTATAGAGTAAGACAGTAACAGCGAGTCTCATGCAGCGATATATTTATAGTTTTCTCCTTTTACCACAGAAATTAATCTCAAAATAAACATTAAGCCTAAAACCACAATACTGCAACAGACTGAATGTTCTGCTCTGGGAAATATTTGGGGTTTTTTTTGTCGCGTCAGTTGTGATAGCAACAAGTTAGCTCGCTGATGCACTGATTTGAGTTGTACTTTAATGGTTTCTCCATTTGCTGTGGAGCATAACATGAAATTATCTACATTAATAATATTCTTTACATGGATAGATTTACATGGACGTGTAGAATAGTCTTCATGTACGCATGCGCGAAATTTCCTGATGTAAACAATAACATGCAGGGTGACTGTGTGTAAATCTGACAAGTCAATGTCTCACAAACTATGAACCTTATGCACTTCACACACACACACACACACACACACACACACACACATATATATATATATATATATATATAATATATATATATAATATATATATATATATATATATAAGGGCATGATCAAAACTACCACTGTGGCAATCTTGTGACAACTTATGGTGTTAAGATTTGTGGTATGTGAAATTACAGTTTTCACATTAGTGGGACTAAGCCTAAGAACAAAAGGAAAAAAAAAAACTTAGTGACATCAATGTCTTTGTCTTTATTATTGATAATATGTCAAAATGTAATCAAGTGAGCAAATACAAAAACTACATCCAGTACATAGAAGGGATACATTAAATTTTTGATTGCAATATTTTGTGTTATGTAGTAAAAGTTACAGGAAAAGATACAAATGTTAAATATTCATTTCAGTTTTATGGCAATAGGATTATATGCATATGTCTGTCACTCTTAGGATTCAGTTTATAACACAAGTTACATTATGAACTGCCATTATGCAAACAGTGCAACTCTTAAGAAACTTAAACATCAACATGGAATCACTTCCACACACTGGCTCACAGCTGCTTCAGACTTTATATGTGTCATAACAAACCAGCATTGATCACAATCACATGATCAATATGTGACATCACTGTAGCCCCACCCCCTTTGAACAGGAAATCACCTGTTTTCCTGCTGGTGGTCATAATTTTACTGTTTAATGTAGATGTGAATCCAGTCACAGAACAACATGATGCTGAATCTTCCCTCAGCAATGGCTGGTGGCTGCAGCATGTTGCTGTGATAGAATGACAAATTCTCACATGCATCATCCAATTTGTACCAAATAAATGACCTTTGTTGACCTCTTAAGAGGCCAAGAGGGTTATATTGAAATTTGACTGCATAATGCCCCCTAAATTATTTATCTCCACGATTCGTCATCTGATCTGCACCAGATTTTTTGTGCATCATCATGGAGAACTCCTTCATATATATTGGTGTGGAAGTTTAATGACAACACATGAGCCCCGCCCACAGAAAAAAACTGAAGATTATTGGTTGGCTCCTGCAACATAAGATTGAAACTGGATCCTCTAAATCTTGACAAACACACAACACCTGTTCTAAACCCCACAGGAAGTCCTCGGCAATCCTGCACCACAAATAGAAAGTTATAATGACCCCCCGTCTGGAAAGTCAGATTTCAGCAAAACCTTTAAGACTTGCTGCTGGGCTTGTGCTGAACTGAAATGAAGGTGATTTGGAAGATTCGCCAAATGCACCGTCTGGTGGAGGTTCAGGAGAGACTTGAGCACATCAACAATGCAACAGGGTGGTGCTGGAGTTCCTGCAGACTACAGTATTTACTGTGAAGCACTTAGTGATTATTTATGCTGTTTGAACTAATTTTTACATAGGATGATGATCTACAATCATATTGGATGAAACACATGTAAAGTTAGATTTCCTCTAACTTAGAAAAGATTACTCTAAAACAAGAACCAAGACCCCCAATTACATTTCCTGCATGCAAATCCAGGATAAAGTGTTTCAGTGAATTTGGTGTTGAAGGTGTAGATGTGGATCAGTGTGTCTGAAGAGACTCTGTAGAAGGACAGAGTCCCAGCAGGACAGTCCACATACACAGCGCCTCTGCCAGAGGCAGAGGAAGGAGAGGAGAAGGAGGGAACAGGGATGAAAACTTTTTTTTCACTATCATGCCAAACAGTGTAACCATCATCAGAGCAGACTAGACACCAGGAGTTATCATTAAATCCAAACCAGGAATCGTCATTGAGACCCTTTCTATTGATTCCCCTGTAACTCACTGATGCATAGACTTTCCCACCCCACTCAACCTCCCAGTAACAACGACCAGTCAGACCATCAGTACACAGCAACTGAGCGGAATCAAATCTGTCTGGATGATCAGGATATGGCTGATCCTCTTCCACACGTATCACTTTCCTGTTGTTGTCAGACAGTCTGAGGGATTTGTTTACAGTGTTCAGGTCGACTGTTAGTGGACAGGAATCTGAAGGACAGAAGAAACAAAATAAAATTAGTGACATATAATTTTCTGAATTCACTGTCATAGAGGTGAACATCAATGAATCAAAAATGCACTCACACTTCCTCAGTCCTGGTGTCATCCATCTTTCTCCTGCAGGCTCCATGCTTTAAGAAAGTTGATGTTTTGATGGTATTCATCAAGATGCAAATATGGACACCCTGATTTAGACCTCATTGAGTTTTCTAAGAGTTCTTCAGTCGATCTATGCCTGTGTTTCTGTCACTATGTATTATATTTACCAAATAAATGACCTTTGTTTATTTGGTAAAAATTCTCTTTGGGCTTTCAGAGAAAACATAGGATGACAAAGTTATTGTTATATAACAGAAAAAAAACAGTTGTTTACTAGTTTTGTTCAGAGTTGACAGTTTATTTTCTCTTCAGTTTTTGTGTCATTGTTCTCATTCTGCCCCATACAATACATCCATAAAATAGACTGGGAATAAAGTCCCAACAAAGTCACATTTGTTAAAAACATTTTAAAAAATGTTTTAGATCAAACATATTCATGTATTAGACTAGACCTAATTGGGAGTGTTTAGATTTGTACTTTTAAGTCATATCGGTTATGATTGATAAATATCATTCCACTTTGCGATTCTACACCATGTTGAGTTTGTTGAAGTTAAAGGGACATGAACTTAAAATGACCACTGTTCAAAATTGTTTGCAATTAATGAGCAATTAATTATTCCTCTATCTTAGCTTGATTTCCCTTGATGCAGCATACAGTAAGTCCTTACTGATATAAACCAGCATTTCTTGGTCTGAGGCTCGTTGAGGTATCTGGGTTTACCTACCTATATTCATATTGTCATTGATTTATCCAGATCTCCTCCCCCTCCCCAAGGATTATTGTTCCTCAGTTATCCTAAGTGTCACTGTGTGGCTGCAGAAAATATGTCCTTACTTGAGAGACTCCAGCCTGAAGCTTGGATTCTTCAGTATAGCTGCTAGACTCTCCATTCCTGCCTCTCTAGGACAATTGAAGCTGAGGTCCAGCTCCTTCAGGTGAGACGGGTTTGTAGTCAGAGCTGAGGCCAGAGCAGCACATCCTTCATCTGTGATCAGGCAGCCTGAAAGCCTGCAGACACAAATACACAACATTGTTGGAAAACTCACCCATATTCTCAGTATGAAGCACATTTTAGAACTTGTTTTCAGCAGGAATAATTAGATGACATGCTAAGAAAGGTAGAGCATGAATGTTAAGCAACAGTCTGCAGAAAACTGTGTGTTTGTCTATATTGTCAGTTGAAGATGTTTACCACAACTTTGCCTGTTTGGAGTCACCATTGAAATGTAGAACCAGTGAGACTTTAAGGCAGAAAAAATTAAGAGTTGGTCTGACCCAAAACAATAGTGGTTGTCTGAACCGTACCAGGTGGCTACATCACTCAACTGAGTGGCCTGATCTGGGACTCACTAATTTATTGAGTCCCATTCTACATGTTTCATGTTTTCAATATATTGGTTTTCACATGCAGATGTACTTTATGCAACCCCTCTCTGTGTCCAATATGTTTTTCCCCTCATGTTATTATTTTTTCTCACCTAACAAAAGGCCATCTCCCTGCAGCCTCTGGCACCATAACGTATGTTGTGTGTTTGTCTCTCGCTGTTTTGGATCAGCTATACTGAAATGAATTTTGTTGTATTTCAAAAGGACCAGATTATTTGGCTGACTTTTTAAACTTTCAGATAAATAAAGTTCAACATCTGTATTGAAGTTCTGGTAACTGACTGTGAAGAGTTTTCAAGTAATTAGACATTATATTCGTGCTCTTATTTTGAAAAGGGTGAAGACTTTTTAAGGAGCTGGTCCATTTTCTCTCTTCACATTCTCCACTGATGATGTTGTTGAAATAGAATTTTAAAGTAGCACAATAGTACATAAGTTAACTTTTAGGTTAAGATAAACTTAGATACAAATCCAAACTAAGACAACTGGTGACTCTCTGAACGTATAAATCACGCTATAAATCAGATCACCTAAAGGCGGCTGGTACAAGAAGAGCTGGGTGTTTGGGTCTCAGAGGTAATAAAATTAACATTTAAGACAACCCACACAAA